TGCTTAGTCTTACAAATAGGAAAGTAATATTGTTTACCTACAGAGGATGGGTGGGAAAGAGGTAGAAGGAATAGGGAGAAGAAAGGAACTTTTATGAATATACCTTTTTAAATAGCTTTGACTTTTGAACAATGCTAATTTTTCTTATATCAAAAATAAATTGATAAGAATGGGGATACAACTAAAATTGAATTTCAATAGAAACAAGTAAACCTAACTGAATATCAAACAGATAACATAAACATGCAGAAGAAAAAAATAATTCAAGTAACTTTTGAACACGGTTCTCTGAATAATCTCAGCAGGGCATATTCTAATGACAAAGACAACTTCAAAGAAATCTTGGGCTTTACTTAATACATTTTTGGGGAGTGGTACTGATATAGCAATTCTGAAACTCTTTTATTTGCATGTATAAGATTTAGCAAGTGAGTAAATATATTGTTGTTGGGTTCTCAGTCAGGGAGAAGGAAGACACCAATATGAAATAAAAGGAAGGGAAGAACCCTGAGATGTTGGATTGGAACTGGAGGTATCAGTATAAACTCATGAATTAAAAAAAAAGTTATATCTCTTAGCTCTGTCCTTGAAAAGCAATCTGCCTAGAAGCAATCAATATGAATGAAAAGTGCCCCAGTAACAAGGAGCACATCTAGCATCCAGATCTTGGCTTCTAAATACCATTTCCCTCTGAAAAGAACCATAGCTCCTTGGAGAAATGAGTGATTCTAGGAGCGGAGGCAAAATACAAGGTAAATCTAGAATATCCTGTTGTGCCAGAGGCTCCTGAAGCACTCAAAAAATAAAGGGGACGTGTCAAATAGGAACACTGCTTTAAAGGATTCCTGTTGGTCAAATGTGACAAAATTTGTACATCAAAATGAATAACAGCAGAAGTAAATTTTGACCCACTGAATAAAAAAAATACAAAGACCACACTTACAGTTTTAAAAAACATTAAAGGGGGAGACAAAAGGGAAAACTTTTTTTTTTTTTGGTCTTTTTTCATGTCTGGCAATGGATCGCAACCCTCAGTGTCGCGCCCATACCGGACCGGG